CGGACCTCCAGGGCTCACGCATCGAAAGAATTGGCCCAGCCGGATGACTGGGTCCCCAGGGCCGGTTTTTTTTGTCCTGAGTCGTTTGTGGACGCTGTGCGATGCCCAGCGAGGACCCCCAGAGGCCGAATCAACGGTCCAGAACCGCCTGCTCAAAATATTGTTGGGGGCGCCGGACCTCTGGGAAAAATCGGCCCGTCTTGGCGGCCGAAGAGGATCAACAAACAGAAAACGCGAGCTCAAATAGAGCGATGCATAGACTGGGTCTTCTGCGCCGACATTGGCACGTAAGCTGCCCGCGTAAGCTCGCGCGTAACCGCCCTCGCGTCCAACGCAGCGTGCCGCGCTGGCGGCGCGCGCAAGCCGTCGCGTAGGGTCGCTGCGTCATCCCGCGTACGAAGCCCCTTTTGGATCGTCGCTCACCTGTTGCTGGAGCGTCGGGCCCCCAGACCCCCGACGTCATGACCTCTTCATATATAGCGTCGACCCTCAGGGGCCTCAACCCATTTCCCTGGACCGGTTTTTCATCCTGGGCCCGGCCAGGGCCTCCCGAGGCCGAAAATGCGGAACGATTCCCCGTCGTCGTGCTTTTCGCTCTTGCCCGAGGGGGTCCGGGCCTCCGGGGAGGCCCGTGGGGGCCTCGGGCCTCCGAGAGGGCCCTCCCGCGGGCACGCGCGCCGCGCGCGCGCGCAGCGGGCCCCCCCCCGTCGGTCGTGGGCGGCCGCGCGCCTCCGAGGAGGGCCCGCCGCGGTGGTGCCTCCTGCTCGCCGGCTGGGACGGCCGCCGCCTGCCGGTGGCCGCCGTGCCGCTGGCGGAGGGCCCAGGCGGCCCCGGGGCGGGCCTCGCCCGCGGGCGGATCGATCTCCGGGGCGCGTGCCCAGCGATGCTCGGGGGTGGGCAGAACCCCCCACAGTGGCACGTCGATTCGTGAATCGTCCGTTTTCGGCTCTCGAGAGGGCGCCGTGGCCGTCATTTTCCAGGCTTGCGCCCGCCAGGTTTGGGCCTCAGGTCGTTTTCACTGAACCACGTTTTACTAAAGGGGGGTCTGTCCATCCCAGAGATGCTCGCGCCGTTTTCCCCGACCCCCTCGGGTAGCGACAAGAATCACGACGGGGGGGTTTCGTTATGTTCTGCCTATATGGGGGCCCTTCCCGGCCTCGGGGCCGGCAGAAGAGGGCTCGGGATGAAAAACCGGGTCCGGGGGAATGGGTCGAGACCCCTGGGGGTCGACGTTATGAACAAATCATAACGTCAGGGGTTTGGGTTGTTCGCGCCGTTTTTCGAGGATGACAAGAAACAGGACGGGATAGTTTGCATCGTTTTCGACCTCTCGGGGCCCTCGACGGGGCCCCGGGAGCGTCAAGAAGCGGCCCGGAGGTCAGTCAGATGTTATCTTAAGCAGGGGGTGCGCAACCCTGAGAGGCACATAAGAACCCCCTCCCTCACCGGCGAAAATATAACGCTCCAGCAGCCTGGAAGCGTTACCCTGGCACCTCGCAACCTGCCCTGAACGCAGACGAGCCTGCCCGCCGAAACAAGCAAGCCGCCCGAAACATTCTCGCAATCTGGCCTCTGTGTGGTTCCGAACGCAGACGAGTCTGCTGTGGGGGAGTAGCACGAGTCAGGAGGGGAATAGGAATATCTAGGAATCCTACAGATTCCCATTGGGATACCGCCCGAGCCAAGGCGCGGGAATGATTTGTGTTCCTTTCTTTCGTGTGGTGCTAAAGATATCGTTCCACGAAAGCCGCCTCCAATAATTATTGAATTACGGTGCGGTGCTAACGATAACCCCGGGGGGCTTCTGACTTGCTTACTGAGGTTATAGACCCCGCCCATGCGGGTAAACCGCAAGATCTGTTGGTGAGCTCTGCGTAGGGTACAGTTGGCCATGTATATCACCATGCACGTTCAGGTTCTTGTTTATTGTAGAGCGCGCACATGATCACGCGCGAACGCGTCCGTCCATGCTGCTGAAGCTTGAATGTTGCATGCTCCTCCCCCTCCAGCTCCTCCTCCTCCTCACAGTATCTTCGCCCTCCTTCTCCATCTGCTCCCTCTCCTCCTCCTCTTCCTCCTCCTCTTCCTCCATCTCATCCTTCTCCTCGTCGCCGTCGTCGGTCTCTCTCTCCTCCTCCTCCTCCTCCTCCTCCTCCTCCTCCTCCTCCTCCTTCTACTCCTCCTTCTCGTCCTCCCCCTCCTCCTCCAACTCCTCCTTCTCCTCCTCCTTCTCCTCCTCCGCCTCCTCCTGTCCCTCCTGCTCCTCTCCCTCTCCTCCTCCTCCTCCTCCTCCTCCTCTCCTCCTCCTCCCCTCCTCCTCCTCTCCCCGCCCTCTCTGCCTCTCTCCTCCTCCTCCTCACTCCTCTCCTCCTCCTCCTCCTCCTCCCTCCTCCTCCCCCCCTCCTCTCCATCTCCTCCTCCTCCTCCTCCTCCTCCTCCTCCTCCTCCTCCTCCTCCTCCTCCTCCTCCTCCTCGAGACTGGGTCGGCCCCGCCTCTCCC